ATTCATTGGAGAGGCTGGAAAATGGACATGAAAAACTAAATCACAACATTTTTTTTAATGGAACGGTTCACCCAAATATGAACATTTGTTGAAAATGTACCCATCCTCAGGCCATCCAAGATGCAGATGAGTTTAATCAGAACAGATTTGGAGAAATTTAGCATTCACTTGCTCGCCAATGGATCCTCTACAGTGAATGGGTGCCGTCATCCATTGGTGCGCAAGTGATGTAATGCTAAATTTCTCCAAATCTGTTTTGATGAAGAAACCCATGTCCGTTTGTACTGATATTTGACCTGCATTTATACAATAAGTTTCCTCTCGGTCCTGAATGCATCTGAATACTCATCACACCCGTCCTGAATGTGTAAAATATGCATGTGCTGCCTGCATTACCTATGATGACTGAGACCTGTTTAGCCCACGCATGACTTCAGGGTTATTATCGGCCAAATCAAAGCACTAGAGATGGTACTGAAATGACAGATTTTCACAGCTTGTGGTTTCAGTAACCATCTGTGAGACGATATTGCACTGAATATCCTACCATAATTTTAAGCTTTGGGATGAATGTAGCCAATCTGTAATCCGCTCTCTGCCTCTTTCAGTTTTTTTCTCCTTCTTTCTCTCTCATTCACACGCTTCAGAGCTCACGTCATAGAAAGTAGAGGGGATGTGACCCAGGGAGCTTCGGTTGCCACACAGACAGAAGGAAACTCAATAGATGTCTAAAGGAGAGCATCCAAAGAGACACACATGAGAGTTCTCGCCTTACACTGAATTATTTACTGTAAAAATGCCCTGTTTTAACCCTTCAGCTGTGCCAATTTTTTTTGTTTCTTTTTCCTGTGTAGACTTGAAAGGGTTTTGATAATGAAAAAAAGCTACACAAATGGCATGAAGCTCATTTCGCTGTAGAATAAATCAGTCTAAAGCTTTTTTCATTCCAAACAAAGTTTGCTTTGTTTCAGACTCTCTTCTTACATTTTCTAAGTGAATCAAGAGGTGAAATTCACCATTTCAGTAGGAGCGCTGTGTGTAGTTGAAGACAAATTTCTTCCGTCACACTACATCTGAATCCATTCTACACTCGCTCCCCAAACCGTCTTTGTTCTCTTTCAATGTCTCATTTACATTAACATACCCGCAGACACTGAAAGAGACACCCTGGCTTGCTAAACCCTTCAAAGACCACGTTAGTCGATCCTACGTTCACCATTGTCGTTTGCATGCAAGAGCGGCAAGGTACGTCTGGCGAAGCAGGTTTCAGGTGTCACGCATAACGACAATGACATCTGAGGATGGCGTTAAGACTCGGTGCATCCGTGTGCGTGCGTGTACATGGGTTTGTGCGTGATTGTACAAGATATCAAATATCAGCCAGTTATGCATTGGCAATAATCACTCTCTCTCTCTTATCGTACAGGATTAGTGAGTTTCTTATCTTATCTGGTGTTGTATGAACTTTGATGGTTGGATGAGCTGTCTATCTTTGAGTGCTGTTTACTTTAGGTAATTGTGCTAATGCTCCCTTTAGATGATAACAGAAATATCAAGATTTAGACCCTGATGGATCTTATTACATCTTACGTACATACGCCACCATAATGCATTCAAGGAAGTTTTCGGGAAAATGTTTTGGTTTGTTTGCACATGCAACCGCACACGCATGTACCGTGCCAGCATTTAATATCATCCAAGCGTGACAAAGAAAATATGCCAATCAACACTTTTTGTTAGCATAGGTGCACTGCACTTATGCCATAGTTTTTCCACAAATTGTCTTTACAAAAAGTAACTTTTAAATATTAAATTTATTAATATTTAATTATATATATATATATATATATATATATATATATATAAAACATCTCAGTGTAATATTTAATATTTTAAATATGAAATAGTATTACATTTCAGTATTTGATTAAGTATTTTAGTTTTGTAAATACTTCATGCCACCATAGTTTGTATTTGTCAAAAAAATTAAACGATTAATTGATTTTTTACATTTTCACGATAATTTTAAAGTTTAGTAATGTTGTTGTTTTTGTGTACTTTTGTACTTTTTGTTTAATATATATATATATATATATATATATATATATATATATATATATATATATATATATAAAACATCTCAGTGTAATATTTAATATTTTAAATATGAAATAGTATTACATTTCAGTATTTGATTAAGTATTTTAGTTTTGTAAATACTTCATGCCACCATAGTTTGTATTTGTCAAAAAAATTAAACGATTAATTGATTAGCATATATTTTCAATTCAAGTTTATTTGTATAGCGCTTTTCACGATACAAATCGTTGCAAAGCAGCTTTACAGAAAATTAGGTTTCTACAATATATTTAGTAGTAGCTTATCAGTGGTGACTTTGTCAAATTGATGTACATATGACAGAAATGTACGGTAAAATTCAGTTAATGACGTAATCAAACAGACAAAGAAAACACTATTAACAGCAATTATTATATGTTGCAATCAAACTTGTAGCAAAATTTGGTAGTTTCAATTTTTTCAGGGTTGGCATCATCCAAGGTCCTCTGAGGGGTTGGCATCATCTCTTTTGAGGTGTTCGGTCATCTCAGGTCTTTGTAAGGGCTGAATCCAGACTGAAGCTTGTGTAAATCCTAGTTACCATGGGATGTCAATCCCGTGGCAGAAACAGAGAAACAAATAGAGATATAATTAGCGTAGCTGCTGTTCCAACCAAGCAAAATTTATTTGTTCAACCCAAGCTAAGGAATAATAATATGCATTTGATCAGATATAACTGCAGTCCAAGATTATGAGATGCATTATTTGAATGTTTGGCCAAAGAGATTTAAACTGAGAGAGTGTGTCTGAACCCCGAACGTTATCAGGAAGGCTATTCCAGAGTTTAGGAGCCAAATGCGAAAAAGCTCTACCTCCTTTAGTGGAGTTTGCTATCCTAGGTACTACCAAAAGTCCAGAGTTGAGACAAGGTAGAGTTTTAGGTAGAAGACAAGTTAGGTACGCAGGCGCTAAACCATTAAGGGCCTTGTAGGCAAGTAATAATATTTTGTAACTGATACAGAACTTAATAGGTGTATTAAGTATATTACAGTGCAGAGACTGTAAAATTGGTGTATTATGAAAATATTTTCTTGACCTGGTAAGGACTCTAGCCGCTGCATTTCCATGGTATATGTCCGAAAACAAGGTAATAGCATAATACTTTGCAGTTAGTGCATTGTCATTGTAAAAATGACATCAACAAGCAATTACAAGAACAAAAACAATGTCAAAACATTTTAATAGGTAGCTACAGTTAAAAAAAATTTACGAAGACATTTTAAAGGACTGAATTATGTATTTTGCAGACAAACATCAGAGCAGTGATCTAACCCGGTTATTTTATCTCTCTCTCTCACAACTCTGGTAATGATTACAGCCTTTTCTCCGTATGTGTGGCCAGCTAGTTATCTAACCAGAGTTTATGCTGCGCTAACACTCATATTATGGACTCTGCTTTCCAGAGCTTTCCAATACAGCAGCAATGCGTCATCACCTTCTGGATTATTGCAACCAATACAGAGCTTTGAATATCTGAGGGTGATGTTAACACATGGAGTGTCTAATAAAGTGTGAAAGAGTGAGTGTGTGTCAGTAGCCTGGGGTCAGACGTTGGTGTGTCGTGGCAGCTGATGGATGAAGGTTGTGGCAGGGCCAGCACTGAGAAACCCTATAGGATGTTGCGTGCCGAAGCCGTAAACCCGTTAACGGGCAGTTAGGACACCTAGTGCTCTGGGCACCAAAGATGACGTGCAGTGATGTAATCTCCAGTTTACACGCTAATACGCAATTCAATGAAACGTCCAGCCTTATACACACAACTACACATACAGTAGTTTTTTTGCAAGCTGTGTTCTTTATAGAGCCGGAAGTTTGTGCTAGTGTAGTACACAGCATTATCTGTGTTTAGCATCCATGGTCTAAATATTAAGTTCATGTTGCCTCATGTTATGAGATCATCCTGTGAGGACATTTGCAAGTTCTTAGGATATGGTTATGTCATGTCTGCTTGGCCTAAATAAAGCCTAACCCTCTTTAAAGGCACACTTACAGGATAGCTTGTATATCTAGACATTTAAATATTAAAACAAAGTCACTTTGGTCCACTTTGCATTTCTTATTTAGGCCAAAGATTGCCAATGTAGATAGGAAAACGTCAGGCCAAAATCCAGAGTGACCTACCACAGGTTGCTTTTCAAGGTGGGTAAATCTGAAACCAGATATAACTGACAACAAAGGAGAATATACAGGTGTGCTCAAGGGTGTCTCGTTTACTTGTTTCAAAGATTTGATGTCATCACAAACTCATTGAACTCTATCAGCCTGGTACCTTGTAAATACAACTTTGGATGCTGCAAATTATTACTGTGGTAGGGGTGGACGATATAAGCAAGAAAAAAAGCAATCATGATCTACTATGATCTATATTTTGGTTAATAACGATAGGTTATATATCATTATATACACATTTTTATGGAATTTAAAAATCTATGTACTTTACAAAATAATAGTCTTATGATAAAGTAATGATAGTCTTTTAAAAAATTTATTTATTTAGATTTTTATTTTATATAATCATAAGCACAGCAATGAAACGGCCACATTTAATAAATAACTCAATGCAAATGTATGTTTAATCCAGACGTAAGTATCTTATTTAAACGCATATTGTTATTTGAGGTATTGTGTGTTCTGACATTTTCATCAAAATGCATGCATTTTTTATTGATCTGTGGATTATCCTCTGTATAGATGTAGTCCTGGACATTAAATGCAGGCTTTACTGTGAAACTGGTCTTACGTCAGATGATTAAGGCTGTATATAATGTGATGAATTATTAGTCTTTTTTTCGTATTGTAAAACAGATTTTTTTTCATCTCCTGCAAATAAGTCTTGGTTGCATTGATTACTCTTGTGCCGTGTAAAACTAAGCTTTATCTCCTGCTTCTGCTTTTTCTGTTGTAGATGAGATCTCCGAGATGTGTGAGGTGGAAGACACTCCAGAACCAGTCAGTCCCACGCTGCTCAGTGAGTCCACAGACACCTACTGCCAGACCGACTGCTGGCACCGACTCCGGACCACCGTCCGCAAGCTAGAGTTCTGGGAAGACTTCAGCGCAGAGCTTGTCGGAACCGGCTTCTTCTCCAAGGTCTACAAGGTAAAGGTTTCCTGGCAGTAATGGAGGAGCGAGACAAATTACTGTTTGGAGATTGAAAGTTTGTGAAAAATGTGCTAAAATTGTTAGAATGTCCTAAAGGCGGCGTGTAATAATGGTTATTGAACAGCACAGAACCTGATTAGATAATCTGCCCTGTAGCAAAAGTGCACTTATTTAATCAAAGCTGTGAAAATGAGGCACATAGAGATCTAAGGCATTGAGACCTTCAAGATAAATGTTTTCGTTCCACCACCTGCTGTCTTTCAAGAGCAAAGGTTTTGTTCCGTATCTCCAGCATAAATAATTGTTAGGGATTATGTACTCACCCGAATTCTGTTGCCAAAATGTTAAATAATCTTCTAATCATTTTGTCTGGAAGTCACTGCCCTGTTAGTCCTTACAACAGAACCTTACAGACATTACGTGTCTGTCGTCTCCTAAAAAACAAGCTACGTCCTGCAGACAGTCTTTAACCCAACTAAGAAATACATGTTTAACGTCACATATGTCACCACCCTGTCAAGCTTAGATAATCTTGAAAACCTTCACAAACAAGAAAATAACTAGATGGTTTTAAAAAATGCCTGAGGGAGCTATAGTAACCACATTATTTATATGCTAACTTTTCTTGTTTTGCAAAATCTCTTCAGTGTTCCTTTAACCTCAATTGTAAGAAACCAAACGGCATTTTGTTACAAGTAATGCCAACACTCACAAAAATGCCATTATTATAGTGTGAAACATTTGATACTATCTTGAAGGAAAGACTTTAGAGAGGCCTTAGATCACAGCAGAGCTTTACAATAGCAAAGCGATTGAACCTAGATAACGTGTTTAATATCAATACACAGAATGTGAAAAACTGTGCCACATTCCTCCACTGTGACCATTCTCACACCACAGGCCAAGTAATGACAGCATTTGTAAAGAACATTGTGTCCTAAAGGAGACAAGTACTGTACAGAATTAGCCCAGGCGAAAAAAAAGAGTGATGCTCCTTTTTGTTGTGAATGTGTTTACAGGATGTCAGTAAGGAAAAACGTGTCAGGAAATCCCTCCTATTGAAACTCCCACTGTATGTACAGTATGTAACGCCCTCGCTGCTGAGGCAATAATGATGTAATGCTCCCTCGCGCAGGTGATGCACGGCACCACGAAGAAGGTGATGGTGGTGAAGATCTATAAGAATGATGTGGATCAGAACAGCATCGTCAGGGAGATCAGTCTACTTCAGAAACTCTCCCACCCCAACATAGTGAGGTGAGCCGCCTCTGCGCACACGATTAATCACTTCCATCAATCCCACGCAGGCCTGATGCTCATAGCGCCCACTCAGAACATGGGAAGAAAACAACTCTGACTCTGTCGGCCTAATACGGAGTAATAAAACCCGACTGGGTTAAGATTTTGCTGACCTTGAACAAAGGTAACCGGTGAAATGGCTACAATTTAGATGGTGTTCTGATGTTAAAAGCATCAGCCTGTGTGACTGTATTACCTACACACAGCCATTGTTTTAGATACTGAGTTCTAGTTATGTTTGCCAATCATTATTAGTATTACTTTTAAGTATAGATGATATATCTGCACCAGGTTAGTTATTTTTATTTAGAGGATTTTTATCATTTAATTGTGCATCTTAACCCTTAATCGGTCCCTGGGGTCCAGCTGACCCCATTTGAATTTTCCTTTATTTTTTTAAAGTGTTCCCTTCATTCCATGGGCATGAAATTTCTGTGACTTTTCCTAAATAATCTATCTAAACACACACAAAAAAATCGGGACTTGATTTGGTTGTTCTAAAGGTGTGTAAAAAAAAATCACCATTAAAGGTCCTTGGGGTCAGATTGACCCCACATTGAAAATTAATGGGAAAATGTAAAAATATATATATATGACACAGAAGATGAAACTGAGTTTGAACAGGATTACCAGGAATCTGAAGAGGAGGGTTATGCAGTGTTTATTTGTGATAAATAATTTTCTGAAATAAATAGTATGTGATTACAGTCATGTCTTTTAGTGGTGACTTGTAACATTTCTGCAAATTTATGTATAATAATTTGCAAAAGCAAACAATTCTAAATATATCAGACAACAACAAAAATAAATAAAAAAATACAGATTTTTTTATTATATATATATACACAAAATATATATAATAAAGTTGTGAGGAGAAGTTGAAACATGAAGAAAACTGGACTTGAAACTGAACTGAAAATGAATGAGTCCCTATGGACCTCTGCTGGATATATGTGGTCATAGCACTTTCTTTCTTTAACTATAATACTTAAAGATTTTCCTCTAACCTGCAAATGGCAGTATTCTATCCCTAACACATGGGCCAACTTCCAGAAACCTTTTATATTTAATTTAGGTCATGATTTAAGGGATTTTTTCATAAAAAAAAAAAAAATTTTGTTGGCCAATTTATGGCATAGTTGAGTATTTGTGCAGTAAATAGGTAAAAAAAACTACCAAATATCCACAAAAACACAGCATAAATGTATAGCTGAGAAGTAAATTTAAAAAATGATATATAGTTTGTCATATAAAAAATTTATATTTCCTTATGCAATCGCTCTGTAAATGTTTGGGGTCTATCTGACCCCAAGGGACTTTAACGTTGCTCAAATCAAGGGACGATTAAAGGTTAATTTTTAATATTTTTATTGTTAGATGACCTTTCCTGTCAACTAACACTCACAAAAGTTAATCTTCAAGAACATTAATAATTTAATAACACCATTTATGTCTTTAACAAATTTCCATATGAATATCCATTTTCATACTGCACACCTGTAGCGTTTAAAAATTTTGATTTGCAATTCTTGTTTTATTTTTAATATATTTAGACAATATTATATTATATATATATATATATTTATTTATTTTAATATCAATGATCATTAATAACATGAAAATAATGTTTAGGGATCAGCCAGAATTTGAATATCCCTGTGTGCTCATACTTAGGTAAGAACTAACATTTAACCCTTTGTATTCAGACCATATCTAGAGACCATAATATCATAAAATGTGGCTTCCTTTGACTACCCAGAACAGAGCTTTGAGTTTGAGTATGCAACTGCATAGCAATGCCCTTTTAACTGCCCTATCATGATATAGCAGGGAGTTTTAGATAGGCATTACTTACATTTGGTTGAAAATGTATTTGCACTACTAATTTGTTTCATTTATGAGTTTCAAATTGATCTCAAGTCAATATAAAGGGTTATGATGAAAATTTACGCAGATGTATAAAGTTCACAGGTGCTGATTGAATGATTTGTCATTCTGTCATTTATGTCACTACCTATGCAAACCTCTAAACTTTGCATAATTCCTCAGTTCTCAGATGGATAAAGTAAAGTACTGTGATTTTCATTCTGTAGGTACCTGGGGATCTGTGTCAAGGATAACAAGCTGTACCCAATTCTTGAGGTGGGTGGCAACTTTTAGGATTTAGTATTCACAATTCAGCATATCCAGTCTTTTGCCTTCTCAACGTGCTGCCCAGAAAGTCTCATGACACATGCAGTGACTCACCATTATGTTTTTCTAATGTGTCAAGAGTATATCATTTTCTACAAAGAAAAAGTTTTCCTGATTTAACATGCTGCAAATGTGAGCTGCATTTTCACTGTATAAATCATAATACAAAGTGTTTTATAATCTCATGTCGTTCCCTCCTCCACCTAGTATGTGAGCGGAGGCTGTCTGGAGGAGCTGCTGGCCAGGCATGACGTCAACCTCTGCTGGAGAGAGAAGATCGAACTGGGCTGTGATATCAGCCGAGGAATGACCTATCTCCACTACAAGAACATCTACCACAGAGATCTCAACTCTAAGGTGAGGACGAGTGAGTTGGCAGACTTTAGGGATCAAAGTTGAGCAATTATGGCAAAGATATATTATGAAATATCACCTTGCAGTGTTCAACCTAGATTTGAAGGTGTGTGCCAAGAACACGCCTTCCATTTATAGCTAATGACAGACATTTGTCATTGAAATTTCTGCTAATGTTTTTTTACGTCTAATGTTCTATTAGCTTGCCTGACTTGAGTCATGTTTTGAACAAAACGTGTTCAATACATGATTCAGCGAGTACCATATATGCGGATAATACCACAGATTTAAGTGTTTAACTGGTATTTAGCACACTTCGCTTGTGTCCATTTCCTCCTTTCTCATAATAACCTAATTTTTTTTTTATTGCTTACAGTTTAGTTTCTGATATCAGTTGTGAGATAAACATTATATTATCTCCCATAATCTTACAAAGTGAAGATTGTCATACTTACACAGTGGCCCCAAAGGTATCTAGATGCTTACGCCATATTTAAAATCTATTAAAATAGAAAAATACATTTTAAATAAAAATTCATTTCAGTGCATTAGAGAAATATAAAAGTGATATCCGCACTATTTCTATACATATTCTAACGTAACTCATTTTAGCCATTACCTTTTAACCAACTAAAGTGAAGTTAGTTCTGGAAAAGGTTATTTGCTTATGTAAATTCTGCGATGAATTTAAAGCATTTTATAGGTAGTATGTGTGCAAAAATATCTATTTGGCTTTTATTCGCGTTTGGGAAAAAAAAATTACCGCCATTTTGTGACAAGTAGCTCTCAGTGTGAGGTTTTCAATGTGTAAAACTCAGAGTGCTTGACATTATCTTGAGTGAAAGACTTTGGTTTCTGTAGATTTACTTCAGTTATGGTTTCCATTCATTGCTTATGAACACAATAGCAGAGTGATGGAACGCAGATAACGTGCTTAATACCGAAACGCACAGAACATGAAAAACTGTGCCACATGCCTCCACTGTGACCATTCTCACACCACGGGCCAAGGTATTTCAACATTTTTTAGTAAAGAACATTGTGTCCTGAAGGAAACGTGTTTTGTAAAGGAACAGGATCAGCCCTGGGGAAAATAAGAGTGATGCTTCATGTTTTTCTTCAGAATGTGTTTATAGAAATCCAGTGAAGGAAAAAACATATCAGGAAATCCTTCCTATTGAAAATCCCACTGTAAATACACAGGCGTTTTAAAGTTTGGGGTCTGTAAGATTTTTTTCTCTTATGTTCACCGAAGCTGCATTTATTTGATTAAAAATACAGTAAAAACTGTTCTTTCTGGTCCTCGAATCTAATTGGCTGAGAGCCTTTTCCAGCGGTGCGATATTCTAGTGATAACAGAACTCTAACTGTTTCACCGTTGTATCACTCCGCTTGCAGTATTTCTCAAAGAGAGCCTGATGTCAGATGCTCACATCCATTATGATTTTATTAATAATACTGTTTTTGTCACGGAATGTAGTTTTAAGAGTTTTTAGTCGAGAATATACTTGTTTAGACTTTAAATATGCGGTTTGTTAATAAAGATAACGTCTATTTGAAATTTTGCTCCGACGTTTTCGGAGATGTGAGCTCAAGTATTACTGTTATTGTGGAAACCGTGATATATTTTTTTCAGGATGATGAATAGAAAGTTCAAAAAAACTGATTTGTTTAAAATAGAAATCTTTGGCAACACTATTACTGTCACTTTTAATCAGTTTAGTGCATCCATGGTAAATAAAAGTATTAAAAGTATGAGACACCCTCACTCATATTGTTGAAATGACTAAAAGACAAGAATTTTGTTGCATTTTGGGAAGGGCACCTGTACCCCATAAAGCTGTAAGCAGAGAAAAACAGTCATGGTCTTGACAGGTTTGAATGTGGCAGTTGCCAGGCTGCAGTGAGCACAGGCCTGTGTGTTTGAACAGAGATGGGGAGGTCAGACCTTTATTATGCTAATGCTGTAGCCAGCATTTACCATTCCATAAACTCCAGACTGCGGCTGCTTTCACTCGCTAACCTTTTTTTCTCATTTCCTTTCTTCTCGCTCTCATAAGTAATGACCCGCTGACTCCTGTCAACTGTCAAGCTTTTATCCTCTCACCCTGCTCACAAGCAGAGACATAACTTAGCTTTGCCATTTTTAAACAGTGTTTATGTTTTATAACTAGATTTGTACATTTTCTGAAGAAAATGTATGTCCATGCTAAAGTAAACTCATTGCCACAATGCTGTGTCGTTGCTAATGTGTTGGTGGTTGTTTACTGGCCCATTGCAAGTCTGAGGGATTTTTTTTTTAGCTTTTATCATCCACCAGGAAAAGAAAATACACTCACTTGAACATAACCTGAACAAGCCACATGAAGTCCATAGCACAAATATTGCTTCTATAGTTTACAAGCCATTACACATTGTGGAGGTAAAACATTACTCGTTCTGCTTGCATAACACAGCAGGTTCAAATTTCCACACCAGAGGTTACATGTGGTTGTATAGCTGCCTTATGTCAATGGGTTTACTTAAAATACATGGGTACTGTTACTGCCACACATGAAACCTCAGAGCACGATACCACACTCATTGCATATTCTCACCGATGTCCCATTGATGTATGTCTCTACCTGATGCTCTGGTGAAAGAATACTGTGTGTGCTTTAATTTGAGTTGAAGTCAGAGAGTTTGCTCTCACCTTTCCACATCATATTTATCAATTTGTGCATTTTACTCACTAATGTTACTGATGCATTGACTGAACAAAATGCTTGTCAAGTAAAGCTGATTTGACACTTTGTTTCATTAAAAGAACTCCGGTAAATTACACTAAATTAAGTTCACTTGATTACACACATTCATTGAGTAACATGGGCAAGAGAAGATTTAGTAAAACTCAAGTAAAAGTTAACTTTAGGGTACTAAAAAATTATAATAATTATGTATTTAATTATTAATAAGCTCAATTATTACATTTTATAGTTATTATTATTATTGTTGTTTTTGTTGTTAAAGATATAGAATATAAATGGGTTCATTAACAAGCAACATCATTATTATTAAATATGGTTTAGTAATAATTATATCATTATTATTATTATATAGTATAATGAATTAAATAAATGTATCTATTATAATATAATTGTTTATGCAACCCAATTATTACATTGTATATGTATTATTATACATTGTTTATAATAATATTTAAATGATTATTATTAGATAAGATATCAATTAATTGAAAGAAATGAATATATCTATAGCACTGCGAAACAAATCTTTTATAAAAGTTTTGTTTCGCTTTTATTTTTAATGTTTCTTTATGAAATTTTACATGCTGAATGCGAAAATCACATTACCTTTTGTGTATCAAACTAAAAAAATATGCTGTCCACTTATACAAGCTAATTTGTTGTTTCTCATGCATAAAAAGTACATAAACAGTTACCAAAAGTGAGTCGTGTGTATGTTGGATGATTTGGTCTTTTATGAGTAGTCCCACAGTGTTTCTGGAATGTTCCAGAAAGCACTAGAATATTCCAGAATGTTCTAGAATGTTCCTATCCTTGCGAAAGCAAAATATCTTTAAAAAAACATGCTAAATTAGTATAAAAACGTATCTGTACTAAATCAATGTTTCATAATTAATGATAGAAGTTCCATAATTGGCCTGACCAAAATGCTAATACGTGAAAATAAATAGTGCACTGCAATAATAACGAACACCACAGAATTACTGAAGAAACATAAAAATTCAAGTGAAATTTGTTACATTGTGTAAAAAATTCTGTGTAATAATGATGATGATTATTATTATTATTATCATTTAAATATTGTTTATAGTTATATTTATTGCATACTATTATATATTATTAGTCCAATCATACACTCTAAAAAATGCTGGGTTAAATATAACCCAGCGCTGGGTTAAAAAGGGACAAACCCAGCTATTGGGTTGTTTTTAACCCAGCATTTTTTTTAGAGTGTATGTTAGAGCCTTGACGTTCTGTTTAAAATAGAGGAAAACGGGAACTTTAAAGCTCAAGAACTTGAACTCCACAGCTTTGTGCTGATGAAAAACTGTCCATGACACCAGATTTGAATAATTAAATGGTCAGGCAATGTCTGGGTTTTTCTTTAGGCTCTAGGGGATTTTGTAATAGAGACGCCATTACAACCATTCACTTTCAAATGAGTGAAAGACAATTTCTTAGTGCTCAATCTTCCTGTGGAGCAATACTTCCATCTTGTGGCACAATACTGTAATTGTGCTGCTTTGTAGTTCTGTTTGGAAAAATTGTGGGTTGTAAGATGACTCTGTCGTTTTGGTAAGATGGTGAAAAATCTTCCTTATACTTTTTTCCTTTGCTTATTTTTGCTTGCTTTCTTTCCTCATACCACATTGAAAGATGTGAGATAAAATCTTCTACATGTGGAATCTTGTTTTTGTCAATCCAGAACTGCCTGATCCGCGTGACCTCGCGTGGCAGGGAGGCCGTGGTCACAGACTTCGGGCTGGCCAGAGAAGTGGGGGATCTGCCTGCAAATGACCCTGACAGGAAGTTGTCTCTGGTGGGGTCGGCCTTCTGGATGGCGCCTGAAATGCTTAGAGGAGAGCCGTACGACCGCAAGGTACTGAGAACAGAATGCTGTACCAATAAAATGAGAGGGACAACTTTGAAAAGGAAAGTGTAAAATAGGACATTTAGGGTTGGATAGTCTTTTTGCCGAAAATTTAATTAGTATTGATTTACTGACAGATTTCACATCAATACACATAACCTTTTGCAGTTGCATCTTAATTAAAAATGAACCTTCTGATTTGATGCCAACCTTAGTAGGTCAGGGCTGAGGTACAGATTAGGAAAGTCATTTATAATGAGTAACAGACACAATAAACTGTGAGCTGTTTTTGCTTCATTGAGAGAGCTGATGTTTATTAGAGACCGAACTGAACCTCAGCTGTGTTTCTGTTTAATCATAGGTGGATGTCTTCTCTTTTGGGATCATGTTGTGTGAGATCTTAGCAAGAATCCCTGCCGACCCAGAAGTGCTGCCCAGGACGAAGGTAAACACACAAAGAAAACAGTTTCTACACCTTTTTTCAGCATATGCAAATGAATACTACTTCATGTACAATACACAGATTGCATAATTTAGCACTTGCTAGCTCTGGGATGGTTACATACAACCCTTAAGGGAGGCTTGTTATGTCGCGTGAATTAATATGGTTCTCTTTCCTGCATTGGGGATGAAAGTAAGGTCAGACAGAGTGATTGCGTTCTGGTGTACAGCAGTGTGGTCATTTACGCTTCATTAATGCTGATGGACAGCCGATGATGTCTGGAGGGGAGAGAACAGATAGATCTGATCTAGGTCAAGGGAACCATCGCACGGATATTTAGATTCTTTAGTATGGATTTATTCATCGTGCTCTTCTGTCACATTAAGGATAATGATTTTCTGGTCCATCTACATTTTCACTGTAGTTGTTAATATATGTATGAGACTAAAGACACGTGGTTGTCACGTATACGCTACCAGTCAAAAGATTTTGTTCAGGTTTTTAAAAAGAAGTGTATTATGCTCATCAAGGCTGCATTTATTTGATTAAAAAAAGTACAGTTTGCTTTGACCTTCCTAATTGCGATAGTTCGTTTGTAAGGTTTGTCTGTACTTTTGTAGTGATGTGTTTAAAGTTACTTGCAAAGTGTAATCTTGTAATTTCCAGGTGAAATACAGTTCGTTTATAGTTTCTTCATATCTTCTGGTGAGATTTAATTTATTTGTAAGGTGTGTGTTTTTTGATGAAGTACAGTTTGTAAAGTTTGTGCTGCAATTTTATGATGAAATATATCGTTTGTAAAGTTTTTAGTAATTTTGTGGTAAAATCATAGTTTGTGTTGCAATTTTTTGGAGAATGATAGTTTAAAAGGTGTTTTGTATAATTCTCTGGTGAAATAATAAAGTTTGTCTTAAAATTTTCTGGTGAAATATAGATTGTTTGTAAAGTTTGTGTTGCAATTTTGTGGTGAGTTATAGTTTGGAAGGTGTTTTGTGTAATTTTGTAGTAAAATTGTAAAGTTTGTCAAAATTTTCTGGTGAAATATAGGTTGTTTGTAAAGTTTGCGTTGCAATTCTGTGGTGAAATATAGATTGTAAAGTTTGTGTTGCAATTTTGTTGAGAATTATATTTTATATAAGGTATTTTGCATAATTCTCTGGTGAAATCATAAAGTTTGTTTTAAAATTTTGTGGTGAATAAATTGTTTGTAAAGTTTGTGTTGCAATTTTGTTGAGAATTATATTTTATATAAGGTATTTTGCATAATTCTCTGGTGAAATCATAAAGTTTGTTTTAAAATTTTGTGGTGAATAAATTGTTTGTAAAGTTTGTGTTGCAATTTTGTTTTGAAATATAGTGTGTAAAGTGTTTTGTATAATTCTCTGGTGAAATCGTAAAGTTTGTCAATCTATATTTCACCAGAAAATGTTAAGACAAACTTTACGATTTCACCAGAGAATTATACAAAACACCTTTTAAACTATCATTCTCCAAAAAATTGCAACACAAACTATGATTTTACCACAAAATTACTAAAAACTTTACAAACGATATATTTCATCATAAAATTGCAGCACAAACTTTACAAACTGTACTTCATCAAAAAACACACACCTTACAAATAAATTAAATCTCACCAGAAGATATGAAGAAACTATAAACGAACTGTATTTCACCTGGAAATTACAAGATTACACTTTGCAAGTAACTTTAAACACATCACTACAAAAGTACAGACAAACCTTACAAACGAACTATCGCAATTAGGAAGGTCAAAGCAAACTGTACTTTTTTTAATCAAATAAATGCAGCCTTGATGAGCATAATACACTTCTTTTTAAAAACCTGAACAAAATCTTTTGACTGGTAGCGTATACGTGACAACCACGTGTCTTTAGTCTCATACATATATTAACAACTACAGTGAAAATGTAGATGGACCAGAAAATCATTATCCTTAATGTGACAGAAGAGCACGATGAATAAATCCATACTAAAGAATCTAAATATCCGTGCGATGGTTCCCTTGACCTAGATCAGATCTATCTGTTCTCTCCCCTCCAGACATCATCGGCTGTCCATCAGCATTAATGAAGCGTAAATGACCACACTGCTGTACACCAGAACGCAATCACTCTGTCTGACCTTACTTTCATCCCCAATGCAGGAAAGAGAACCATATTAATTCACGCGACATAACAAGCCTCCCTTAAGGGTTGTATGTAACCATCCCAGAGCTAGCAAGTGCTAAATTATGCAATCTGTGTATTGTACATGAAGTAGTATTCATTTGCATATGCTGAAAAAAGGTGTAGAAACTGTTTTCTTTGTGTGTTTACCTTCGTCCTGGGCAGCACTTCTGGGTCGGCAGGGATTCTTGCTAAGATCTCACACAACATGATCCCAAAAGAGAAGACATCCACCTATGATTAAACAGAAACACAGCTGAGGTTCAGTTCGGTCTCTAATAAACATCAGCTCTCTCAATGAAGCAAAAACAGCTCACAGTTTATTGTGTCTGTTACTCATTATAAATGACTTTCCTAATCTGTACCTCAGCCCTGACCTACTAAGGTTGGCATCAAATCAGAAGGTTCATTTTTAATTAAGATGCAACTGCAAAAGGTTATGTGTATTGATGTGAAATCTGTCAGTAAATCAATACTAATTAAATTTTCGGCAAAAAGACTATCCAACCCTAAATGTCCTATTTTACACTTTCCTTTTCAAAGTTGTCCCTCTCATTTTATTGGTACAGCATTCTGTTCTCAGTACCTTGCGGTCGTACGGCTCTCCTCTAAGCATTTCAGGCGCCATCCAGAAGGCCGACCCCACCAGAGACAACTTCCTGTCAGGGTCATTTGCAGGCAGATCCCCCACTTCTCTGGCCAGCCCGAAGTCTGTGACCACGGCCTCCCTGCCACGCGAGGTCACGCGGATCAGGCAGTTCTGGATTGACAAAAACAAGATTCCACATGTAGAAGATTTTATCTCACATCTTTCAATGTGGTATGAGGAAAGAAAGCAAGCAAAAATAAGCAAAGGAACCAGAAAATTGCAAAACAAACTTTACAAACAAACTGTATGTTACCAGAAAACTGTAAGTCAAACTTTACAATTTTACCAAAAAATTATACAAAATTATACAAAATTTAGAAACAAACTATACTTCACCAGAAAATTGTAAGACAGACAAACTTTACGATTTGTCCGGAAAATCACTTTAACAAACTTTAGAATCTATATTTCACCACAAAATTGCAACACAAACTTTACAATCTATATTTCACCACAAAATTGCAACACAAACTTTACAATCTATATTTCACCACAAAATTGCAACACAAACTTTACAATCTATATTTCACCACAAAATTGCAACACAAACTTTACAATCTATATTTCACCACAAAATTTTGTGTTGCAATTTTGTGGTGAAATGTATAGTTTGTAAAGTGTTTCGTATAATTTTTCTGGTGAAATCGTAAAGTTTGTCAAATTTTTGTGGTGAAATATAAATTGTTCATAAAGTTTGTGTTGCAATTATATGGTGAAATATAGTTTATATATTGTAAAGTTTGTGTTGCAATTTTGTGGTGAAATATAGTTCGTAAAGTGTTTCGTATAATTTTCTTGTGAAATCATAATGTTTGCATTACATTTTTTAAATATAGATTGTTTGTAAAGTTTGTGTTGCAATTTTGTGGTGAGTTATAGTTTGGAAGGTGTTTTGTGTAATTTTGTAGTAAAATTGTAAAGTTTGTCTAAATTTTCTGGTGAAATATAGGTTGTTTGTAAAGTTTGCGTTGCAATTTTGTGGTGAAATATAGATTGTTTGTAAAGTTTGTGTTGCAATTTTGTGGTGAGTTATAGTTTGGAAGGTGTTTTGTGTAATTTTGTAGTAAAATTGTAAAGTTTGTCTAAATTTTCTGGTGAAATATAGGTTGTTTGTAAAGTTTGCGTTGCAATTTTGTGGTGAAATATAGATTGTAAAGTTTGTGTTGCAATTTTGTTGAGAATTATATTTTATATAAGGTATTTTGTATAATTCTCTGGTGAAATCATAAAGTTTGTCTTAAAATTTTGTGGTGAATAAATTGTTTGTAAAGTTTGTGTTGCAATTTTGTTTTGAAATATAGTGTGTAAAGTGTTTTGTATAATTCTCTGGTGAAATCGTAAAGTTTGTCAATCTATATTTCACCAGAAAATGTTAAGACAAACTTTACGATTTCACCAGAGAATTATACAAAACACCTTATAAACTATAATTCTCCACAAAATTGCAACACAAACTTTACAATCTATATTTCACCACAAAATTTTGTGTTGCAATTTTGTGGTGAAATGTATAGTTTGTAAAGTGTTTCGTATCATTTTTCTGGTGAAATCGTAAAGTTTGTCAAATTTTTGTGGTGAAATATAAATTGTTCATAAAGTTTGTGTTGCAATTATATGGTGAAATATAGTTTATATTTTGTAAAGTTTGTGTTGCAATTTTGTGGTGAAATATAGTTCGTAAAGTGTTTCGTATAATTTTCTTGTGAAATCATAATGTTTGCATTACATTTTTTAATGAAATATAGATTGTAAAGTTTGTGTTGCAATTTTGTGGTGAAATATAGATTCTAAAGTTTGTTAAAGTGTTTTTCTGGACAAATCGTAAAGTTTGTCTGTCTTACAATTTTCTGGTGAAGTATAGTTTGTTTCTAAATTTTGTATAATTTTGTATAATTTTTTGGTAAAATTGTAAAGTTTGACTTACAGTTTTCTACTAGTCTTTCTAAACCAGAATCTATTTTGTTTACTGAGTTTAATTGAACTGTTTGTATTATTCCTGACTCTATTTGTGTATATGGTGCTTGGTTACATTCATATATGTATATATCTAGTTTATTAGTTACACCAATAAAAGAATACTGATTAGTTTTCAAGTTTTTTTACATTTATTGAAACACAGTTGAGCAATATTATGGAGGACCAAACCTGCAGAATGAATGAATAAATGTAATAACATGAAAATAAATAAAGAAATAAATGACTGGGCAAAAACAAATATAGTTCATTTGTAATAACATTTAATCCTGAATTAATTTCTTTTATTTTTACTCTTTTCCTTTATTTTTATTACCCTTTTCCGGTATTATTTTCTGTATTTTTTTTACATTTATTATTATACTTTTCAACTTTTATTTACTTATTCTTTCATTTCTTTTTATATTTATTTGATTTATTACATACAATATCCATTAAAAGCATATTTAAACCAATAAAAGCACATTGATTCGTTTTCAGGTTTTTTGACATTTCCGATAATGCAATTAAGCAAAATCCATCAAAAATCAATACGTCCTTATTAAACTCCTTTAGGCTACATTAAAAAGCTCTACTTAAATCAAATCGTGACAGTAACTCAATATGATAAGTACTTGGGCATGACGAAAACAAGTCTGATTTGTGTCCTACTGTGTGTGAATGGAGGATTGCTTAT